CAACTAGTCCACAATCCTTTCCCCAGTCTTCACCAAGAAGGTCCTACTTGCCCTTCAAAGTCTAACTGATACTTTCTCCATGAAACTGCTGCTAATTCCTCCAGGCATAAGCAACAGCTAACACAGCCCTTGCCATGCCGGGTAGTAACTTTCATCCTACTGCCCATTCTCCATTATTTCCAAACAAACTATGATGCAACTGACCTGCCTGGGGCAATGGGGAATGAAGAAACAACAGACATATGTACAGCAAAGCTGGTGGTAGTGGGCCATGCTCTCCGATGTAGATGCACCTGTAGCTGGGAAACTCAGTGTTTACTACATGCAGCTGAAAGAGGTGGTTAGCCAATTTGGATAAGGGGGTCTCTGTAGAGGAGCAGTCTCAGGCTGCAGTCGCAGCGAGGAGGAAGCTGTGGTTGATACTTTCAGCACATATTGTCAACATCCATACCGGAATCAAGGGAAGCCCTTGCCATTCCCAGGGGTCTGAGGCGCTGGCATCCTTGACATGGCCAAGCTCACGTCAACACCTTCACTCAGGACTTCAGCAGCTCCCTGCAAAACTGTTTTTGCCTTTTTGGAGTTTATCTAAAAAAGTATGGTTCTTAAAGTGTATTACAAAGAGTATATTTCTTAGAGACAATTAACACTGAAAATACATTTCTGTGATTCATTTTTTCTTTAAAACTTCTCTCTAATCCTGGTGAATGAACTAGACATATATAAGTCCATAGCTAAAACAGAAAGTGACTCTTCAGCACCTCTAATAGTACACAGAAAACTCATATTCTTCTCGGCCTCACAGTTCTGGACTTTGCTTCTCTCCAGTTTTCTTTTTTCCCCAGTGGGAAGCATGAAGACCCATCAGTACTATAAATTACGCAGTCAAGTTCCCCACATTTGGGGAAATTGTAGGGGTCGGCACATTGGGAGTGCAATGGATAAGCCTCACCCTGGGAAAGTCACCTTGGCGACTGTGCAGACTAGGTTTTATTACAACTTGACACAAGCTAGAGTCATTTTAGAAGGACAGTAATTTCCTTAACTGATGACTAGTGGGAGAGGGCCCAGCTCACTTTGGGAGGTGCCTCCCCCAGGGGGTGGGGACTGGTGTTCCTGGGTTGGATAAGAAAGCAAGCAGAGCAAGCCAGGAGAATTTCTCAAGCCAGTAAGCAGCACTCCTCCATGGCCTCTGCATCAGCTCCTGTCTCCAGGTTCTGGGCCTGTTTGAGTTCCTGTCCTGAGTTCAGTTACAATGGACTGTGGTGTGGAATGACAAGCTGAAATAAACTCTTTCCTCTCACGTTGTTCTTGTTCATGGTGTTTATTGCAGCAATAGAAACTTGAGACAGCCATCATGGTGAAATTCAATTTCATGATGAAATTCAAAGCTAGTGGTAAATGTTAGGTATTGTCTACTCAAAACTAAAAACAGGGAGGCACACATGCACATAGAATTTGGATGACATGAATTTAGCAGCTGCACTAAAAAAAAAAGATTTATTTTGGAACAAGGTCTCACTATGTACACCAGTTTGGCCTGGAACTCACAGAAATCTGCCGGTCTCTATCTCCAGAGTGCTGGGATTAAAGGCTAAAGTGTGTGTCACCATGCCAGGTTTCACTTTATCTTTTACTTGTGTATGCATGTGCACTTGCCTATATTCACTACTTTTCTTTTGTTGTGATGCCACCATGACCAAAGCAACCTAGAGAAGAGTTTATTGGGGTTTACAATGTCAGAGGATTAAAGTCCGTAAGGGGAACATGGCAGGAGGCTGGCAGACATGGTGCTGGAGCAGTAGCTGAGAGCTTACATCTTGATCTGTAAGTATGAACCAAAGAGAGAGAGCCATCAATGGCATGGATTTTGAAACCTAACCCTGCCTCCAGTGACACACCTTCTCAACAAGGCCACGCCACCCAAACCTTCCCAAATAGCTGAACAAACGGGGGACCAAGTATTCAAATATGGGCACCTAGGGAAGACATTCTCATGTGAATTACGACAGTGCCTGTGGAGGCCAAAAGAGAGTATTGGATTCCCTGAACTGGAATTACAGAACTGAGGAACCCCATATAGGTGGTGGGAACCAAACTTGGGACTTCAGGAAGGGCAGCAAGTGATCTTGACTGCAGAGCCATCTCTCCAGCATTTTTGAGTGACAGGATATGACACAACCTTTCTGAGCCTGTTTCTTGACCTCTGAGGTTAAATCACATTTACTTTCTCTTGCACAACAGCTGTGAGGCAGAAGCAGACCATGAACAGTGTGCATACTGTTGGTCCCTCTCTCCAACTGCACAAATGCCTAAGGCTATAGGCCTGTATTCTATGGCTTATACTGAAATGTGTCTCACTGACATCATTTCTCAGAGACTTATTTAGAATACACTGGCCATGGAAGACCATCTCAAAGTTAGAAGGAGAAATGTAAGCCTGTGCTCAGAGCAACCATGAGGCCTCGGTAGAGTTTTAAATTAAAGGCAGGCTCTGCTACTTACATTTAAAAATTGTAAACTGGTTTACTTTAAAAACGTACTTCGGAAGGTGACTTCATCTAACTTGTTAAACTAGTTCTAGCTTCCTTGGACATGTAAACTTATTCAGCAGGTGAGTTAAAGGATTAATTTGTAGCTTGGAGTGTCTCCCTCAGTACAGCATGCACTTATCAAGCTTGGGGCACTGGTTTCAATACCCACCGCCAAAGGAAAAGAACTATATACCACCGCCTAGGCCTCACACAATCTTCGTAAGATTGTCCTCATCCTAATCCCATGGCACATTAATAACTCAGTTACCGGTGCCTGGGTCAGCAGGTTCTCCTGCCCATGTGACTGCTTTAGGTCTGTCCAGCTCAGAATCTAATGGATGCCCAGGTCCCTGTGTCACAAGGTTTGTGTCCTCTCGCTGTCAGTGAATGTCACTAAGCAGGGTGTGTGGAGGTGCCGGATTTACCAGAAGCACAATCTACATAATGATGTAGATTAAAATACATCCAGTTTGTATTTTAACTGTTTCCCCCTTCATAGCAGCATAGACTGCCTGTGAGGACTGGAAGGTATTATCTGGGATACTGCATTTGTGATCACTTCCAGTGGTACCTAAATAGTTACTACTATCTTGCTTTCCTTTGTGCTAATAAACATTGCCTTCTCCATAATTCTGTTTTATGGTGCCAACAAACTATCATGTTAAGCCAGTAACGCCTTAGCATGAATTTACTTAGACTGCCATTTCCTTGGAAGGTTTTGTTATTTTTAGTCATGTGTATAAGAATGATTTAGAGTGGGGGGTACGTGCTCATGCCTGCAGGTGCCTGGGGAAGTCAGAGGCATCTGATCCCCTGGTTCTGCAGCTGGAGGCATTTTTTTCACTGCCTGATGTAACGTGCTGGGAACTTAGCTCAGGTCTTCAAGTGCAGTTCATGCTCTTAACCATCCCTCCGGCACCTAGAATGCAATTTCTCACAGGTCAAAGACAATACTGAACTCTGAAAAAAAACACTATTGAGGTGAATGTTCTTAAGACATTTGTCCAGGGATGGCCTCCAGTTAAATATAGATTTGAATGACTCACACCAGGACAAAGCACAAAAAGGACCCATCTGGAGGCAAAGGGCACTTGCTGCTCCTAGCAGTCACAGGCTGGGGTAGCAGCAAGCAAAGGAAAATCAGCTAAAGGTACTGACCACATCAGGCTGCATAAAGACCGTTAGAGCAGATGATGGGTCAGATTCGACAAACAGGCTCCGAACTGGAAGACAGAAGACTGAGGGACATGGGCCTACGACTCCTGTTCCTCATGTAAGGCTGAAAATGACAGTCCAGTCTCTCCACATAAGTCACTTGCCAGTGAAAAGCTGATGATGGCACATGTCAAGAACAGGTGAAACCCCGGGTGGCATGTATCCCTAGGCTCCTACTGCCACCGTCAGCAGGTATTTCCTGCCCACAGCTTTGGGTAGTGTACACTCACCTACCACTCTTGGGTGCATACCTTAGGGTACACTCAGCGGTTGCTTTCACTGCCACCCCCTTTCAGTTTTGTCGCCTGCTGTCTCTTTAAACATTCCCCTTTACAGAATTCTACTACTATCCCCAATACAGCTGTCTTCAAAGAATCACAGCAGCAATGGGAGGGGGTGTAGCAGGGATGAAAGAAGGGAAATTCAGAAACAGCTTTAGGGAATTTGGTAACAATGGGTACAAGTGCGTGTTGGTTATAGCCTCATTCTCTAGACCAGAGTACCGGACATCTGTAGTCCTTACTAGACAGGCTGAGCGCCTCCTGTCCCACCGCAAGTGTGCCGCCTATGCACATGCGTGTTTTGTGTGTGTGTGTGTGTGTGTGTGTGAGACTTTGCAGAGGAAGGCCCTTCCCTCGCAGACCTACTTTATTGCCTGGTGGGCTGCTCCCTCCTAACTTCTCAGAAGCGGTCTGACCTTCATCACTGCAGGGGTTCACAGGGTTGGAAGCAGGGTGTCTTCAGCAACTGCAGCGTTACCTGTTTGCATGGTCACCGATGGAACTCAGGGTGGTGTCGCTCCCAAATCACCTCCTAAACCTTACAGGAACAGATACACTGTACGGGAGGCCCATACCCAAGCTTGGAGTCTACTTTCTCTTCCTCAGGAGACTAAAGCCATGGCAGTGTTTTTTCTGCTTCTTAGGTCTCAGCATCCGTATCACCTTAGTCACCCTCCTAAAAGACCTAGTTGTGACACTTGTCTCTCCCCTGGTCTCCCAGAATGCCCTTTCATGACTATTGCTCTCATGTGGTTCTGCAACGATGGAGGTAAGTATGGTCGTTCCACCCTCCTCACACCAGACTCTCAGGATGTGAGGGTCAGGGTGAGCCTTGCTTGCCCGCGTGTCATCAGCACCTGGCTCCCAGAGCGTGCTTAGGAAATGTCAAGTGAATGGAGGGAAAGGGAAGAGAAATGGTCTTTTATTAATTTATTGAGCAAAACACAGGAAGAAGTCAATGACGCAGTGACCCAGTCCGTAAAGCAGGCTTTTTAATGACTCTTCTCTCACATTTGTGAGCATGTTAGCAAGTGAAAAAAATGCTTTTATTCTTTCCCACAGAACAGAGTTCCAAATAACAATCACAGTGTTAAAATGAGTAAGATGCTTGGACGAGTAGCCAAAGAATATAATCAAATAACAAAATCGCAACAATTTACCAACTGAAACTTTACTGAGACAGAAGAGAATATGTGTCTGTAGTTAACATGGGTAAAAATGAGACGTTACAGAAACTAAGTCTGTCAGCCTAGGACAGGTACTATGCAACATAAATGCAAGTAGGTGAGCACACACTATGGACAAACCAGGATTTGAAGCAGCTCGTAGCACCAACTCACTAGAAGGACCAGCAGAGAGGGAGGTCATTCAACCAAGGCATCTGGGAACAGGGAGGATCTCAGCCAGCATCTCCTTCTCCTCCCTTGTGACAAAGGGGAAGGGAGAGCTGAAGTGCCTGGTCCAAAGTCATCCGGCAGAGGACTGACCAGACCACCAACCACTGGTAAATGCTCTATTCTATTTGATTTGATGTATTTTCCCCACTAACAGGCTTATGATGAAAGAAAACAACAAACTTCATAGCATACTTCAGCATTACATTTATTCCAATGGAAATGACTCTTGGGTCTGTGCACGGATACATTTTTAATATGAATTCAGAGTGATGAGTCTGACAGTTCTACCTTAGTGGTAAGCTGGTAGAAAGGAGGCACCTGGACAGATAATTTGGCACATCTTTATAAAAACGTTATTTTACTGTTACTGTGTGTGTGTGTGTGTGTGTGTGTGTGTGCAGGGTAACACACTGAGCATGTAGAGGTCAGAGAACAACCTGTGGGAATCATTCTTTTCTTCTACCTTGTACATCCTAGGGATCAAACACAGGTTGCTGGGCTTGGGAGCAAGCACCTTTACTCACTGAGCCCATCTTGCTGGCCCCAGTTTGACGCATCTTATACTGTGTAAACAATGAGTCAAAATTATTAACTCATTGGTATAAAATTTTCCCTGTGGATAGTTTAAAGATTAGCAAAGTATAAAAATAACCTAAATACAGAAAAAGCCAAACCTTCCCTTGAAAATTAAGTATGACACTCTTACTTTCATATGGCAGAAAGTTGAAAAACATGATTTCAGAAAATCAAAATATTTAGCACAACCCACAGCCTATGAACCACCTGATATACAAAGCATTTCCCTTGATTCTAAATATGTGTGTTTCTTCAAAATGTTTTGGAGTCATGGAATCTTGCATACTCTATCTTGCCACAGCCCCAGGGCTAAAATTCATGATGGGCTGTAATGATCAGAGTATAAACATTATATTGCTCACTACAGACAAGACAGATCGAACATACAGAAATGAAGCCAGGTTGTCAGTGTAGGGAAAAATCCCACATGGGACTCCCATTCATTATGATCATCAACATACTGCTGCAGACAGTTATCTGGCTTTATAAGTGAACAAAGATAAATAAAAGTGACTTCTGCATGTCATATACAGTATACATATATTATAATTTCTCACATAGACATTTAGGTATCAGTAAATCAACATTTGGCTTAATGGTTTCCCTCTTGGTTCCAGCATTAAAGGATCTGATTTCACTTTTATTGTGAGCACAGTTCAGATCTGGTTAGGGAGTTATAAGACATTTACTGTCTTTAAGGAAAAGGCAACAGTATCTCCTGGGACCTCAAATTCATTTCTTACCATTAAAAGCATATTAACAAACATATGTATAAGTAGTAAAGAATATACTATGCTACCAATAATGTGCACATGATTGCATAAAAATATTCTGTAATAAACTGCCTCATAAATATTTAAAGAAACATGTTTAAAATTAGAGTGACTATAAGATTAGTGTTCTGAAACCATCAGTAGAAAAATATACTTGTAAAAAAAGAATGTTCCATTAAATGTTAAAATTGTCTTTTTGGTGTACACTTCCATTTTTACCTTTTGCAAGGCAAAAGCTTGCTCTCTCTCCTGAACAGGTGCCTTTAATACAGCTGGAAACTAAGCAATAGGTGAGACCAGGTTGTGGGCAGTGCTATGGTTTTCTATGCTCAGTTCCAAGTGCTGGCCAGACGGGGGACTTGGAGAAATATTGGATGTCTCTGAGTTGTTTAGAAATAGTACTGCATCTGTTTGTCATCAAGAAGCATGATGCTCAAGGCCCAGGCACTAGACATTCAGAGAGATTTTCTCGTAGGGCAAGTTCTCTAAAAACAACTCCTAGAGGCTAAGTCCTTCTTGAGAATACTTTTTAGAAATCCTTCCTTAGTAGTTACCTTAATGAACTGAAAATGAATCAAAATATCACAGGCCTTGTCTTTGGGTTGGGTTTCTAAATGAATATTTTAAATGAACCCTCTCATTGTGACAAAGTCAAGATACGTCCTTGGTCATGGCAGGTTGTCTGCCTCTGGGATCCTCACCGGACACTCTGAGGGTACATGGGCTATCTTCATAATCAAGGTAAAACTGATGACCTCAATCCCCGATTGCTGGAAGTGCCGGGACTGCCCTACAGACTGCAAGCCTCCCGCCGGAAGGGTCCCTTGCCCTGGGTGGTTTGTGACAACGGCAGTGATGAAACTGCAGCCGTCTGGAAAGAGCTCAAGTGTCTTCATATTGCTCGACTGTTTCTTCCCACTGCATTCCACCCAGCTGGAGCTGGGTAGGAGAGAATGTCCCCACGAAAATAGTTGCTCTAGCAGCAAGGGACAGGTATCATGCTGGCGAGGAGAAAGGGAGAGGGTTGCCTACCAAGCTGGGCCCAGGAAAGCAGCTGTTTTCACAGTCCTGCTCTCCTCAAGGCGAGGCTCACACTTCCTTCTTGCATTCCAGCCGTGAGGGTGGAAGTTTCTGAGGTGGCCACCCCCAGAATCCAGCAAGCATCACGAGCCGTGGTGTGAAGCTGCCCAGGGTCCTCCAGAGGGCCTCTTTCCCTTTCTTAGCCTCAGAATCACAGAAGCCCAAATGACTGATATGAACTAATACCTCAGCAAAGGGCCTTCAGTTTTGTCTTAGCGTTTTAATGGGCACAGTTTATTGCAGACTAAGGGGTCAGCGTGATTCCAAGAGAGGAGATTAGACAAGATCAGCTCATTAGGATGAATGTGAGCTTTGCAACATTCTTTCATTACCTTTTTTTGTACAAAAATTACATGTTAAGAATCTGTTCTTTTACATCCACGGAGTTCCAGATAGAGGGGCTGATCTTCCAGCAGGAAGTTTCAGTGTGCTGAGTGGCAAGAGTGCAAAAAGCTATGGTCGCAGACACCTGCCTCTCCAGGCCCCCTGTGTAGGGGACAGGTTGGCAAAAGTCTTATTAAGAACATAATATAAAGGTTTCGGACCGGAGTGATTCTTGACATTTTAATTTACTGGTGCTTAGACAGTTTAGGTCTTGACATATCTTGATCAACTTTGTATTGAAAAGACAAGCTTCCCCAACTCCCCTGTCGCTTTCCTTATACAGTAACCCAATATGATACCATAGTTATCAAATAGAAAGTAAGATTGTTATTCTGTATTAAATCAGTAAAGGGCGAAGAAAGGACAACTTGGAAGAGAGAGACTTCAGGGTCTGTTATTCCAAGAGAAGAGTGTTTTAGTTACTAGCTGTGGTTACCGGGTAAGCTGAAGGCATCTCTTCAGGTTGCTGCCGTGGTTTGCTTTAAGAGGCGAGGGGTTGCTTCCCGGTCTACTATAAGATGATGCAGGTCTTCTTATCCTTGAATGGGTTTTCCGAGGTCGGTATGCCTATCAGCAGAGGGTCGCTCCGGGCATGCTCCTCACAGTATGACATCAGGTCTGCAGATGCTTTTGAGACCTGGTGAGGACACAAATAAGAAAGAGAAGACTTCATTGACAAGGATCCTAACCCAACAATCAGTGTCATAGTGTACAGCCTTCTGACCACTTGTCAGGTACAAGGGAAATGGTCTTGGCAGGTAAGACCTGCCTCGATCCAATGATCATATGAGGATACCTCACGGGCAAGCTAACAGAAACATTTAACTAGAAACAAAACAACCAATCTCCACTCTAAGTGATGGCAACACCGTGGTGAAGCAAGCTGCCCTGATTCGCCATAAAACACACTGAGGGTTAAATACCGTTCTTATAGAGCCCTGAATTGTAGGGGTTTTCAAATGGCTTAAAGAATAAGCCCTAGGGTTTTTTGTATAAATGTGGAACAAAAGAGAGACATTGAGAGAAAAAGAAAGGCAAATCACATTTAACTGTGCTCACCAGCAACAAGTGTAAATAAAGTGCTGTGAAGAGAAGGAGTAGGTAAAGCCTCCTGCCGCCAATCCAACGACTTGAGTTCCTCACCCAGCCAGGACCAACACGGTAGAGAGAGCCATCTCCTAAATACTGTATCCTGGCCTCTACATGTGTGCTTTACTGATTCATCACACACACACACACACACACACACACACACACACACACACACACACACCTCACCAAAAAAATTAGTAATAAAAAATGAAAAAATAAGTATTTGGATATTTGCCATTCTGTAGTTTGAAATGTTTAAAAATAAAAGTTAAAACAAAGAAAGATAGGTGTGTAAATCAAGGGAAAGTTACATTTTAGTTTCTCTCCAAGAGAAAGGAGACTGGAACACAGAAGAGAGTTTAAGAATTGAATTGTGGAGCCCACACCTGACTAAGCTTTGAGATTTACTCTTAGTGATCTAGTGCGGGAATGTGAAAGGCACAAACTAGCAAAGGAAGGCACTAACCACCTCTGGTGTGACACCGGAAGGAACTGTGCCTTCCTCTGGTGTTACATGTGGAACTCTGTGTCCTATCAAGGGAGTCTGGAGGGAGATTTCAGGAGGGTTAGACCAGGGCTCTGAGGGCCACCCCAGGAACCTCACGCTTTCCAGACAGCTGACTATCTCCAATCAGGTGACTGCTTCAATTTCAGGAAACAGAACTGAACATTAACCACACATTCCAGGGTTCTCACTGGCCAGTCCTCTCAGAATGCAGGGGGACACTTACTTCAAAGTCAAACTACTAAGAAAATGTACCGAGTCTGGAAATGGAGCTTTTACTAAATCCGGGGCCACAGAGTAGCCACTAAGTGACACACTGAAAAACAGCAGTTTCCAGAAGGAGGATTCGGACGGACAGCTGACCTGCAATACTTGATAAATTCCAGGAAGATAACAAGGGTGCTTAGCCCTCCACTGGGAATCCTGTCCCCACTCAGAAGACAGTCATTACAAGCCTTGATCATATTCACTCAGGAAAGGCAGGCTCTCAGGAAATGTTGTCTAGGGCTTGACAGGGGGCTAGCTTAGATAACTGGTCCCTTGGCTGCTTTAGAATAACACCTGTGCTAGGTAGGAAATGAAAACTAAATTATTCTCAGCCTGCTCCAGGAAAAGCAGGAAGCAAACTGCATACGGCTGTATCTTCTCTGCCTCGTGTTCCTGATCCAGGAGGGTGGGGAGCTGTGCAGAACACACTGCCAGGCCCTTTGCACGCACCTTTATTCTCTCGATGGAGGCTTCCAACCGCAGCTGCTGCACAGTTCTCCTAGCCTGGGCAATGTTGTTAGTGCTTGCCGTCTTGCTGGACATCTTTGACGATTAGTCTCCCTAAAATCTGGAGAGAATTTTTAAGAGGTGAATAGCAGTTCTTTTAGGTTATTTAAACATTTATTAAGATGTGTTACTTGAAGGGGGAAGGCTGCATTTCCCCAATCCCAGTCAGAAATGCCCTGCAGCCATTCTGGTGACAATCCGGATGTGCCAGCCTACCATTCACTTGAGTGCCTAGAGCACCTTTCTGCAGAAATCTAGCATCTGTCAGTTTAAGCTGTGTGCTTACTGACATACTACATACTACAGAAAAGTGTCCTTTAAAGAACTTTCTAAGAGAACACACACACACACACACACACACACACACACACACACACTTGCAGTAGCTAAAGGAGCTACGGCAGAAGCAAACAACTATCAGCAGAGTGTGTTACTATCACCACAACCCCCATAATGAAAGGCTTCACTTAATTTCTATTAGCCTGATGAAAAATTCAAGGCATGGGCAATGGTGAGAAAGCTCTCCTCTGAAATAATTTGCACACAAGGCAATGCTAGGGGTCATCAGATGTGCAGCAAGTGTAAGACTTTTGGGAGGCAAACAAGTCAGTTTATTTTCAAGCAAAGCGGGGGTGGGGGGGCTTCAGCAGAAGGACTCTCCATGATATATCTATAGTAATGTCAAATGTACAATAGTCTCAAATAGTAAAATGTTATTCCTTCCTGCCTCATCCTGGTGGCCATGTTGTTACCTGCACTTACATGTCAGAGGGTTGCTCCTCCTCTCTGGTAGCGCCCTTGGTGTCTAAGCTGCCCTGTTGCTTTGTCTTCACAACCCCCTGATGTAAAGCAGTGGAAAGAGCCTGGCCCTTGAGCTTTGACCTCTCTGCTTAGGCAATGGCACCATTTCAAGAGGAAGACAGGCCCAGGGCAAGAGCCTGCCCGGTACCTTTGCCATATATGGTTACATTCACACCCAGAGTGGTGGCAATTGGAGAAAAAGGCAGAGCTGGCAGGAGGGCGGCAGCTTCATGACTCACGGGAGCAGGTGGGCAGTAGGTGTGCCTCCCTGGCACTATGTGAGGACTCAGCAGTCTAGGGCACCATGGCGCCAGCAGCAAACCCAGGCTGACTCATTCTTTGGGAGGGCTTGCTGCTATACAAAGCTTAGACCAGACGACACGGACCGCATGAGTGCCCCAGACATAGACACAGATGTCTCCAAGGCCTGAGTCAATGATCAGAGAGGGCCGGACCTTCTGGTGTCCATTCTTACACATTTGTACAGAAACAAAAAAACACTACCTCAAAAAAGCAAATCCCAAACTAAAACACTAAAACACAGGTCAATCTGTATGCAGGACTTTGGAATAAGCCTTGATGTTGGGTTTACTACCCATCACTCATCTGTGTACAGGACTTTGGAGTAAGCCTTTGGTGTTGGGCTTCCAATCACCAAGCCTGGATGCTCCACTGCTGCTCCAGAGGAGGTTGAGACCAGGTAGGACATTTTACCTGTGTGCTCATCTTTTTGTTTGTAACATAAGGACACCATTATCCACCTCAAAGATTTTTCTTTTCTTTGCAGTGTAGAGCAAATTCAAATCCCTAACGCATATCTAGTGTGGGGTCCAGAACAATAAAGCTCCATAAACTGCAGCTGCTAACACTAGAATCCCCTGCTTATACTGTCCACCCCTTCCCCACCTGGTCAGTGGACCTCAAGGGGTTTGACTGATGTGGTCTAGTCAGGGCCCTTTAGAATAAGTCCTTCGGCAATTCTGCCACATTACTATCAGGACAGAACCAAAGGAATGATGACAGCCAACAGAACACTGGAGGAATAAGGAAGCCCCAGTAGGGCAGAGGTACAGGAGACAGGAGAGGGAAGTGTGTGGCAGGACAGGGTGGACTTGTCTTGACTGAGGCCTTAAGTGACCTTGATTCGGTACACAGCCTAGCAGTCTCTTCCCCAGGTTCCAGTCACGCAGCCCTGCCCAAGGGAGAGGCCAGGCCAGGATCTATTAATCAGGTGTCTAAAGTGCCATCAAGGCATGGCAACCTCACCTTGCAGAGTGCACGGCCCTGATGCACAGCAGATGGTGACAAAGTCTGTCCCTGCAGCCTAGGAAAAGGGACTCTCCTTCCAGCTGCTGGCTGGCTGGAGGTGACCATGACTGCTTTTCTGAATGGTCAGTGGTTTGTAGACGGCACCCCCAGGGTTTCTCTACATTCCCTTTGCATGAAAACAATGCCAAGCTCTCTCTTTCTCTCAGCCTTCAGGGTGCAGTTTCCAGAGCCAGGGAAAATTTTCTTGTAACTGAAGAAGAGGTCACATAGGGACAACATCATCCATTGCTCCTACCGGTGTGGCCATCGGCAAACAATCCCAAGTCAAGCTCTATTTATAAAAGCCTAGGAAGACCCTGCTCAGTGTAGATACCCAGAAGGAGAGGACGTCTCCCCTTCCCCACGTGTTATAGCTAATATTTAAACCAGCTAGCTTGTAAGCCAAAACAAAAGAAAAAAGATTAAAAACAGCAATCCACAATTCATTCTTCTCTCTCTCTCTCTCTCTCTCTCTCTCTCTCTCTCTCTCTCTCTCTCTCTCTCTCTCTTTCTCTCTCTCTCTTCTTTGAGACAGGGTTTTACTTTAGCTTTGGAACCTGACCTGTAACAAGGTCTTGTAGACCAGGCTAGCCTCGAACTCACAGAAATCCACCTACCTCTGCCTCCCGAGTGCTGGGATTAAAGGTGTGCACCACTACTGCCAGGCTCACAATTTATTCTTGCCAGCTTAGGCCTCTCTTGCTCCTTCACTGGACCTGAACGTACTCCCATTCCCCTTCCAAAGGGGGATACTGCTGGTTCCCAGGCCCTCAGTGGTCCATACCATACTTTCGCTTTTTTTCTTTCAACTCTTCCTTCCCCCTTCTTAGAAATGGGGGTGAGAGGTGGGGAGGGGGAGGGTGTCTTTACTCTGTTGCCCAGGCTGGCTCAAGTCTCCTAGGTGTAAGCAATCTTCCTGCTGAAGCCTCCCAAATAGCAGGAACTGGAGGTACAAGCTACCATGGTGGGCCTAGCAACTCCCTATCCCCTTTTTGAGGCAGGGTCTCAAGAGGTAAGTGTTTTTTTCTAAACACCAACCTTCTCAAGGTTTTATAAGTACAGCCTGTCTGTCTCAGGCTGGCCTCGAACTTGTGAGTCCTCCCTCCCAACTGCTGGAATGATAGGTTTAAGGTACCACACTGAGCAACAAATTTTCAGTTAGGCATTACTGGTGGTACCAGGCTGGGTGTGCTGAGGCAGGGCAGTAGAGAGACACAATGCCCACCCTCACGGAGGCGGCACTGAGGGAGTAATTAAATGTTTTCCCTTTCTGCCTCAGGGGAGTCCAACCTTGCCACACTGCTTGTCACCCTTCTCAGTCTCTCAGTTCAAATGCAACATGTTCCTTCCTCTCTGCTGGTACAGGGATAATCCTACCTAGACAACTAGTTAACCTTTAGAGATGAAAGCATTTTCGCCTCATCCTTAAATATAAAGAGCTTCTTCTACTGTATTTCTGTAGCAATAGCTTTGGGAAGTCAATTCAATGGGATACTTGTGAGCAGCCCTAGGAGAAGGATATGATCTTCCTCCTTGCAGATACTTTGTAAAAGCTCAACTAATGTCCTGGGACAGACAACAAAAAGACTGGGAAAACAACCGGGGATGTCTCCATCCTTCTATCCCAGGCAGGAGAGCCTATGCAGCAGCTTGCTTTGTCCAAGCACAGCCTCGAGGGTAAATCCGACCTGGCATCCTCATGGAAACTGGGAGCTTACTTGTTGCTTTTATACAGCATTTCAGGAAGCCTTGTTACAACCCTGCATGGGGTCATTACTGTTGTTTTAAAGTTGAGTCAACTGGGACTAGGAAGACTGGCTTCCAGGTGACATAGTCTATGTGCTCTATGCTGCCTGTGAGGCTTTCCTTTCTGGAAGTCGCCCTTCCTACCTGCCACAAAGAAAGGGCACTATTCCAATTAAGGTGACTCACGGACACTGGCGTCACTGCAGAATGTGCCACAATGTGGCTCTTCGCTGGTAGCACCTTTGACACTCGGCAAACCAGCGTAGGGGCTTGCTGGCTGCCTTGCATAGCTTCCTGGGGCACAAGACTTATCCTGCCCACAGCCAGAGCAGGCTTCACTTTTGCATCCAGGAGTAGGTAAAGAACAATCTCTGTAGCTTATAGGCAAAGGCTAGAGTCAGTATTGGGGGGTGGGTATAGTCTAGAATCCCAGTACTCCATTCTGCCCAGTAGAGTCAAAACTCAAGAACTTGAGCCAATGTCCATCTGACGAAACCTGGCTATTGTTTCTTTTCTGCTTCATATATGGGCAATACAATGGAACAAACGTGGAGCGTTCAGCTAGTCAAATGGTTTACACTGGTTTTGATGCTACAGTTTGCCTAAATTCTTAGGTTCTTAGAAATTCCGAGGAACAAGATGTTCCATTAGGGAAACACAGGCATTTAAATCTGTGTCAAGAGGACCTGAGCCAGAGAGGAGAGTGGGCATAAAAGGTGTCACCAAGCATACTCTCAGCAGAAGGAACAGAGAAGCCTGTAGTCTGAATGACAAGTCATAGTTGCCTGGCCCTGAGCTAATCACTGGGGCGAAGCAACTTCCAAGAACAAACATCCTTCTGTGGCTGTAACAAAAGAGCAGCCTTCCATTTACTCTGCTCTCTCCATGCTGTCTATAGAAGATGGACAAGAAGACCTGCTTCTTAGGGCTGTGGGAGATGGGCCATGGATCCACACTATTCTCTCAACACACTGTACATCTGCATACTACTAAATGCTGGGCTCAGGCCCACGTTCTTGGTGTGGACCAAGATTAGATCACTGCTGGAGAATTACAAAGCTATGGGATGAGGTAGCAACAGCCTAAGCCCAGGGAAGTACAGAGCAGGCTGCTACAGCCCTTCATCCTCATGAGCCTTTGCCATTCAGATCAGAACCAGAAGGCTAATGCCAGCATCAGATGGTGTGACTGGGCCCACGTTCACTG